AATTAATATGCTTGTTTTCTCGGTAACAGATTAGTATCATGGATATGGATATTCTCCACATCGAAAGCAGAACTGAGAAGAGCTTTGTTAGGGAAGTCAGAGCATCCAAACACACTAGTGTTTACACCAAAGAGTTTCTCGGAGGAGCCATTTGTCGTTTATTTTGATCGAAAAGCACAGAGATGCACACGACATAGGCTACATGGATTGGACAAATATGGCACGGGATACCATCTACTGATCGTGAAGAAATTTTGGCTTATCTTAATCATGTATTGTGAAACTTTCGACACAACCACAACAAATTCACTCATATCAGAGATATAAAGATGAATGTACGAGACATCATGCCAATTAAGCATGTGTTTCAAAAAGCTTTAGTTCAATTTCAATAAAACAATCTCAAAATCTTCTTTCAGACTTTTTCACAAAGTATATAGCAAATATCAAGTACACGTGGTAGGGAATCGTGAAGATTTGGTGTATTTTTTTGGAGTTACCACTCACTAGAATCTTTCAACCAGTCAAAATTTGAGAACGTGTTTTATGTTCAAGATTTTTTTTTTCGGTCTTTGATAAGTGAAGTTCTTTTAAACATTTCCTAGATCTTTGATAAGTGAAGTTTTTTTCTTCTATGTTCAACTAAATCTTGAGATTGCTAAACACAATTCTCGATCTTTGATAAATGAAGTGAAGTCCTTTTAAACACTTTCTCGGTCTTTGATAAGTGAAATCTTTTTCTTCTATGTTAAACTAGATTTTGAGACTATTGAACACAATGTTCGCATTCTGCCAAAATTGAAATTGTCAAACTACAAATAAATGTGATGAATCAATGAACTCAAAAATGTTGATAAGATTGCCAAGAATAAATATAGTGAAAAGGGGGGCAATCGAGAGTCAAAGTTTCAGATTCTTCTCCTTGACCGCAAACATTACTCTAAAGTAAGATACACTCAGATTCAAAAGCCGTAGAATCAATGCAACTCAACTGTAGAATAAAGAAATTAATACTAGACCGATCTAATGATTATATAATTAGGAAGTTCTCTCTCCATTTACCGTATCCACTAAAACAAAACAATTTTTTTAACATTAAAGATTGTTTGAGACTAAAATGTTTTAATCTATATTTACTTCTTTTAATTGTAGTTTTGATGCATAATAAATCAAAACCGATAACAATTGATAAGGTAATGTCATAACATTTATATTATAATGTAAGCAAAACATTAATTGATCATGATAAATCATATAAGCAAATTATGCTTTATTTTTGTTTAGTGACAAAATATATAAATCGTGTTTATTTTCTATTTCAATTTTAACTGTTTCTTCTCATATTTAAAAATCAGAATAATTTTTTTTTTCATGCGAAACATACAAGTAAAATATAAGCAAAACACAAAATAAATTTAAGCAAACAAAAATACAACAACTGATATTTTGGTTTAATTGATCATGATTAAGTCTTAGATTCACGACTCTAAGTTCTCTTTTACCATTGAAGAAAACTAAATTCAAATAATAAAGTGTATCAT